GCTAGGGGAAATGAAGGGAAGCCGAAAGGTTGCTTTAAAGGTTGTTTACTGGTCCGTTCTGTTCAACCGGTCTTTTCAAACACCATGTCTTGGGTTTTTGGGTGTTCTTGCAGGGAATTTCCGCTGAGTCCTAGAGGTGTTTCTTTTTAGGAGGGTAGCCCTTTTAAGAGTTCCTTAAAGGAAAACTAAAGGCGAACCGAAGCCAATGTTGGGAGTTCCCGCAGCGACTCGACTACTATTGTACTTTGCTAGGTACACTCTGATGTCAAATGAAGACCAAACATGTTACAAATCAAAAAGCAGCCCTAGTAAAAAGGGGAGAAAGCCTTGTTGCTTCGTGGCAAAGCTTAAGGCAGGGATCAAGCAAAGGCAGTGCGTGCCCTGTGATTGATGTCCCTTTGCTTGGCTACTTTACGGCCGTTGGCCACTCGCCAGAATCCGCAGCCGAAAACCCCCAGCGTTCCAGCGGAACAGACATCGGACAACAAGAACAAACGATGCAAAGTTGGCGAAAGACCCCTTGGCCTGGCTGAAGCCAGGCGCCACGAGAAAGGCGAAAGGATGCTTCAACGGAAGGGACGCCTCATGTCGGTGTCCCAAATGGTCTCCAGTAATGTGTTCCAGTAGAACATGCTTGATGGTGTTTTCTCTTAGGCAAGAGAACCTGAAGGACGTGCGGCAAAAGGAAGGAGATCAAACCCTGCGGCCCCATTCTTGCTCAACTAGGGTTTCATCCATCCCAAGCTTTCATCGTGAGACAGGGCTCCATTTTGTGGCCGATTTCTTGGTTTGACCGTGAAACCAGGCGGATCGACGTGAAGCAAACCCCGAAAGCCAAAACCACCTCAAGGAATCTCCACTCCCGTCGCGCCTCCCGCTGGACTTCCACGTTGCTCTTCACGAGGTAAGCCCACGCGGCCTCATCCACGGGGTAGCGCTGCCTGAAGGCTTCCTCGTCGCGTCCGATGCGCCAGGAATCGAAAATGACAACCACAAAGCCAACTTCCCACAACCATGTAAACCAGGAGAGTTGGAGGAATCGAAACCTGTTTTGGCATTCAAGATTCAATTGGAAAGTGGCATGTCGTTTATGGAAGGATGAGGATGGGGGGCTCCCTTTGGTCAAGAAAAGTGAGAGCCCAACTCGAGAAAAGGCAGTCTGGGCCAGCATCATGCCCCGGAATATCTCGAACGCCAGGAAACAATCTCGGCAGGGTTCCATGACACAGAGACAGAACAACCACACACCAAAAAAAAAACAGACAGAAAGACAGACAGGCAGGCAGGCAGGCAGGCAGGCAGGCAGGCAGACAAACAAACAAACAAACAAACAAACAAAGAAACAGACAAATATACGTGCATACATACGTATATTTACAAAGCCAACAATCAACTCAACCCACGCAATGAAACCATCAGCGCTCTCCGAGTCGCTAGGTCCGGCGCGAGCTCTGGGTTCAGCTCGAGGTCCGCCATCGAGATCACGAAACGGGCGCGTTGCTTTCCGAATCGGGCGGTGCGGAGTCGGATTCGATCCGAGTGCGAAACGTTGGGCAATTCCGAAAATGCCGAAGGAAACACACGGCAAAATGCGGGAGATTAAGAAAAGCAGACGCAGGTTGTGGAAAGGGTCCAGAATCTTGGCGTCTGAAACGATGGCATCCGTATTGGAAGGCTAGGCTTGGACTTCGCGCTTGACCGTGGGTGGTTCAGGAGTGCTCTTTGCGTGCGAGTGGCACATGGAAAACCCTGAAACTCCTCTGTGAGCCAGATGCGAGCAACGCGGTTGAGCGGAACCCGAGTTGATATCTCCACAAATACAAAGCTTCCAAAAGGGTCGGTGCCCCAAAAACACGCTTGAGGTGGTTTCTCCTGGAAAACGAGTCGGAACCCATTTCCTCATTTCCCACAAGTCTGTATGGATTTGTCTGTACTAAAAAATAACAACACATGGACTCTCTTGAAGATTGACTGCCGAACATGCAATGCCAAAAACGAACCAATCAAGCCCTGCAAGCTGGCAGTTTTTGTTTGTAAGTTCTGTGACGAAGTAGTGGTGAGAGGCCCGGACAAAGATCTATAACCATCAGAGCAAAACTCTGCCTTGGCACCAAACGAACATCAAGGAACAATTAATCAGAGCCTTTGGAACCCAACATCCAAAGGAGGCTCCACCACATGTCGGAGGACCTTCATGCTTCTGGAAAATCACGGATTCAATCCTTGGCCACTCACAGCCAAACAACAGTTAGAGCGTGAAAGGGAACCTGAGAGGAAATGTCAACATGCAAAACCCTACGTGAGCCATGATTGGCCGATCGGGTCATGGCTCCCTACATAAGAATCATTGCATCGGATATTATAAAGGAACCGGTCAAAATGGTTTCGGGCGCTGGCGAGGCCAAGAGGAACCATCAAGGGTGCCCCTCGCCTCACAAGACCGGGATTCAGCGCAGCTTCCCGGGGACGCATCCAGAACCCACCCGCACGCCAAACACCCCACCGCTTCCCCCGGCTCCCCACCGGCTCCCGGCTCCCGGCTCCCGGCTCCCGGCTCCCGGCTCGCCTGGCGCCCCGCAGGTGGCGCTGGATCCGGCGCAGCGCCCAGCTGGCGCTCTGCGCCCGCAGCTTCTCCAAAGCCAGCTGCGTGGCCTCCCGCAGGAAGACCTGCGAGCCGCTGGCTTGGCGGCTTGGCGGGGTGGGGGGGGAAGCCGAAAAAAGGATTGGAATCTGGTGGGTTTGGTGCTTCAGGATGTTCTTTGCGCCCATTTTGGATGTTTCATGCGAGCAGAAAGGACCGAGGCGCCGAGACTTGACCCTGAGTCGCAACCTAATCTCAGCTTGGGCTCCCCGGAGGCCTCCATGTCCTCACCGCTTGGATGTGTGTCGTTTTTAAGGTTGGACCCCCCAAAAAAATGCGATGTCCTGCTCCCGCATCCTTGTAAACCAACCCCTCAAAGGGTACCCTTCGCCTCAAAAAAAAGAAAAGAAGACCCACCCACTTCTGCATCATCACCTCTGGTTTCCACCCCCAAAGCCACGCGCCATCCCCGTATGGTGGAGAAACACCCCAAAAGGGTGCCTCGTCTTTGTTTGAGGCGCGGTACTCATGCTTTGGCGGTGTTAGGGAAACCAAAAGAACCACCACCAATTTGGGGAAGTCTCCCTAAAAAACAGACACGCCCGGATGAGCCACTTCAGCCCACCCGCCGAGCCTTCGTCTTCCTCGGAAGCAGTCAAAAGGTCAAAGCCGCTGACGCCGACCGCTTGCTGAAGAACTCGAGCGAACAAAACTGGGCCTGTGTTCGGGGAACCTTTCTGGGTGATGAAAAAGGAAAGGGGAAAACCCGAAATCCATCTTTGGGGTTTTCTTAAAACACACAGCCCATACCAGGCACAACTGATGTTTGTTGAAACCACACGGACAGCTTCAGGGCAGAGGGCGAGAGCGATGCTTCACTTCGGCTAGACACCAAAGCGGGGTTACAGCACGGAACCGCACCGCGATGCTTGCAGCAGGTCACTTTGTCCCTGACTCAAACCCTGAAGGGGCCCTGCTTAGAGAAGCCACTGGCTTCCTCCTGTTCAAGGGGGCTCGTTTGCGGCCAGAAACTTCAGTTGGGAACACCAACCTGAAATGATCCGTTTCCAAGCACCCCCCTCGTCTTGCCGGCCAGCCTTTTGACTCCGAGCAAGCCGAGGCGCCCGAATTTCGGCCTCGGGGCGAGGCGCTCAAGGGCTTGACCCCCATCCAACCACAAAACTTAGAAACAGGAAGAATCTCAGAACGAAGCACAATGGATGACTCTCACTTGCAATACGTCCGGATTGGATCAAGTCGTCTGCTAAGGATCCCATCATTCCCACAGAGCAAATGCCCCTCTGTGCCCTTTGTTGTCGGCTCTTCAGATGGACACCCTGTGCTCTTCTTTGGGGGGAAACCCACAGTCCAACAGGGGCTGTACATTGAACGTTGGGGTTCCCATGCCAGCTGGATCTGACACAAACCAGGATGCTCCAAAGACAAGGACTCTTCGACCCGGAAGGGCCCGGAGCAGACCAAAGGAAGCTGCACGCTTATCACGAGACTCCTCCAAAGGGCGCATGCTTAAAACGTCTTAGGGGAGATCGGAACTGGAACTCTGAAGCTTCCTGATTGGAGGCTTGCACGATTTAAAAATCGAACTGAGCTTTTGCGAGACCCAAGGGACAGCCCAGCGGCTCAATCCAAACTGGAAGCAGCTTGGACATGTGGTTGACCATGTGGTTGAAGCAGCAGGGGGAGCGGGAAAAGGGGCTTCAGTGGTTGATCAGGGGTCACTGGATTTTTCTTTCAAAAGTTGACAATTTCCTGGTGTCCCCACTGTTGGAGCTTTGAAAAGGGAGATGGCGGAAAGCCTGTTGATGCCATCCCAAAAACCACTGAATGGCACGTCTTTTGTGGGAATTTGACTCCTGAGCCCTCAATGACAGCTACCTACACTGCTCTCACGCCCTCCTTCACCGAAAAAACATGGGGAAGCCATCCCTTGCATTTGCAAAGCAACAGCCGCCCCTCTCCAAGTCCGTTGCGGACTAGAGGAACTCCAAAAATCCGCGACCTTCCTCTCAATGTCCTTTTGACCCACAAAGGGAACAGTTGGCGCCATTCCCCCCCCCCTATTCAGTGCTTCAACACCCCATACATAAAGGGAACTGCGCCATCCACTTTCAGCCAACTGTACCCCAAACCGAAGACACATGCCCCCTTCGAGTCCTCATTTCTCCCCCCATGCATCGGCGGCGACCCCCACAACAATTTACGGTCTTTCTTCTTCCCTGAACCGGGAGCAACAGGCAAACAGACCACAAGACACACCAATTTTGCCACCCCCACAAAATCTACGGTTTCCTTGTGGCTTCCCTGAAGAACCGGGAGGGAAAAGGCAAACACAACACCGCGATTTCCCTGCAGCCAAGTCGCTCCCCGGGCACCTCCAGCTCCTCGTGCGCCCAGCGCATCAGCCGTTGCGCCAACGTCGCCGCGTCCGCCGCCGCCGCCTCCGCGGCCGCCAGGGTGGGCCGCGCCGGCGGGGGCCGCAGCAGCGGCAGGCAGCGGAATCGCAGCAGGAAATCCTCGCCAGGTGGGGCTGGGGCTGGGGCTGGGGGTCCGGGGGCGGTGTTTTCCGTTTTGGTAATTGTAGTTGTGGGTTTTTGGTTTGAGGGGAAGTGTGGTTTGGCCGCAAGTAACGGTGTGCTCAGCTTTGAGAGAGCGCAACTTGGTAAGCCCTTTGGGTTTTGGTTGAAAGAGGGCTTGTCAAGGCCCTTTGGTTTGACGGGGTTCCTCTAAAACATTACCCCTACCAAGGGAAGACCGCCCTAGGGACCCCTGCAACAGTACCATTCATCAGCTCCCCCAGTGGCAAGTCAAACGACTCTGATGCGAGCCTGCCCACAGAATGGATCCCTGCTTCCCCCAGACCTGCGAATTCTTAGTCCCTTGCCAAAAGTTGTTTTTCTAAATGGCCAAACTCACAAATCCAACTTAGAATCCAAGTCTAAACTCTACATTCAACTCTAAACCGTGAGTGGGAGATGTCATAAATCCAACCTAAACTCCATAAAGCTGAAGTCAGCCAGGAACCGTGTGGCTGAGAAAAGGCATTGTTTCTTCGCACCTGAGTGGTCGGTTGAAGAGAAACGACCCCAATTTCTGACTTTGATAACCCCTGGAAGCAGAACGAAGACACTGACCCTACAATCCTCACGAAAAGCTGTGCATGTCTCCGGCCAATCCAACTGCTTTGACTGGGATTCCTGACCCAAAAAAAAAGAACCACGATAATGATCCTAGTCAGAACCCAAGAAGGCCTGGCCACCATTAAAGCACTGCTTATACACAACCAAAAGAAGTCCATGTCCCTGTCTAGCGGGCATAAAGCCCCTGAAATAGGCTGTTGCTTTACTAAACGGGACCTTCCCAGGACGAAGCCGAAGTCCACTGCAACCGTACAACCCAAGGCAGTCATCCAAGTGTGGGGGTGTCCCTTCTATCTTTAAAAAGGAAACTGAAAGGAAACCTCTACTTTGACACTTGGGAACCACCCTGGCCATTTACAACCCTGGGGTCAGTAAAATCCCCATTTCCCCGGTATCATTCGCAGCCACTCCATGGGTGTACAAAGTCTCAAGCAAGCTGAACAAGAAGGAACACTTTCTGCGAACCCCCCTCCAACGGCTTCGACTTGGCTCCACGTCGAAACGACTTCGACTCGTCTTCGAATTCGCCTCGAAGCGCAGCCGGCAGCTGAAGCCCTGCTTCCGGATCCGTACCGCCTCCAGCACCCCGCCTGGGAACTTGGAAACATCCCACGGAGTTCCAAAGAGAGGGCCGGGGCCAAACAAAGATGAGCCCATCCACAACAGCCCCAGACCCGCCCCCACGCCTTCCCTGAAAGCTGACCCCGAAGCTTTCAGCTTTTGGGTCCCACGAAAAGCGGTCAAACAAAAGAGAGACCAACAGGGAAGTGCTGAAAAGGGAAGTCGCTCTAACACGATCGGGTCCCGAAACGAAGAAATCCCCAAAGTGGTGAGAAAGGGCTACACCGTGCTACACCCAAATCCAAACTGATGTCCAAACCCCCCAAAACCACATCTATAATTGGATGAGAAAGGGCTGTAGACCCAGGGAGAACCCTCGCAACGCTAATGAATGAGACGATCCTTCCCAACCCCCCTCCATCTTCATCATGTCCCTCTCCGTCTCATTTGGATGGCGCTTGATGGTAGGAAAAGGTCGTCTTTCTTGCTCCTCCACTAGAGGGTCCCTTCCTTGATATTTCAACTACGTTTCCCGATTTGCTCCTAGATCCAATCAGTTTCCATAGGCCTCCAGAGCAGAAGCCCGGGAAAGGCCTAGTAAATGGGGTATAAAACCAGCCCAAAGCAGTGAAACCCACCTATTTCTGTCCCAAAACTAAGCCTATGCCTAGTCTCGCCAATTTTCCGTGTCTTGCTGTTTCTCGGTCAAACCGGGTTTTGGGAATGAAGCTTTCCAAAGAGCAACCCAGGGAGAACGGAGAGCAGAACTCGATTTTAGGGAGAGGTCGTTCCAACTCATTCCAGCTGATCGGCAAATTTGTTTAGGTGTTCCTGCTTGGCTCCTCACAACCCTGAAATGGGATCCCATTGGTTTTGACAACCACAGCCATCCCACCCAACCGCCCCAACCGCACGCCCAGCGCGGGCAAGCCCAGGAGCTGTAGCGCAGCTGCTCGTGCACCATGGGCGCCGTGAACTCCTCCGAAGAGCCGAAGAGCCGTTTCTGTTGGGGAGCCATTGGTGGGGTCGGTCGGGTGGTTTCAAACCCAGAAAAAAATGGGCCGCGAACCATCTTTTTGCTGTTTGGTCGGACAGGTGTCAAGCCCAGGAAAAAAGATAGGACGCGGGCCATCCATTTGTTTGTTGCTTCGGTGTTATGTTCAATCCACTTTTTGGGTGGTGGTTTCCCGGAAAATGTCAATTCGACCATCCAGTTTGTGGTTGGTGTCCGAGATGCCAAGCTGTCAAAAACCCACGAAAAATAAATAGACAATAAAATAAACAGCTTGCGTGGTGGAGACCACAACTCTCATTTACCCACAAATGATGAGCTTGCTGGTGGGTTCGAATGATTCACAACTTTCGGAGGCCAGGGTTGTTGACGCGGAACTGTGCGGCCGTTCAGTGTAGAGTTTCAACCTGAGTATGCGTCTCCTTTCTCGTTGGACCAAACTGCAAACGTGCCACACCTTTTGACGGCACAAATAGGAGGAAAAAACAAATACAGTTCAACAAGAATGTGGAGAAAGACCCTTCCATTTGAATGCAGCGGACACCTTTTCGTTTTCAAGTCGCAACAGCCCGACCACAACCGCCAGAACCACCAGAGCCTTCCATTTCATGGAGGAATGGACCTCTCTGTTTTCTTGTCGTCTATTCTTTCGTTGCAACACAACACGACCCGGAAAACCCGGCGGAAAGATACCAGAACGAACAACTCAAGCCGCAAAACGCGGCAAAACAAGAAGAGAAACAAACAAAAAGAGAAAAATATGAAGCATAAGAAGCAAAAAAAACTCCTCGGGCACGCTGCTGGCGTTGGGCTTGATGCAGCGCACGTAGTGGGTCTCCGAGGCCTGGATCTTGGTCATAAGCTCCCTGCCACAGCCGCTGCTCGGCGGAAGCTCCGATCACAGTGGGCGTGTTGGGTGGTGTTTTTTGAGGGGTTCGGGGGCTTTGGGGGGTTTGGGCGAAGGCGATCGTTTTCCCCCCCCTGGCCATCCTATGATGAGGAAAAAATAGGTCCGTTTCCTTATTTGTTTCGCAAGTGAAACGAATACATGATGGGCCTCGATTTAAAGAGCACCGAGAAAAACTCGGAAGAAGGGGTGCAGGGATGCCACCATCCGCACCTCAAACAAACTCGACCAAGATGAGAATCAATCGAAACGCCAAAACGACGCCCTCCCCCGCATGCCGCTCCAACGCCCCCAGGCGTGCGCGCTCCCCGCCTCAGGGAGGCGCGGAAGCGGAAGGTGGCCGAGCGCAGCTTGGAGCCCTTGGCCAGGGGCGATCCGCCCTGCGCCCGACCCGGGCGGCCCGCGCGGCCCGGCCGAGCACTGGTGGCAGTGGCGGGTTTCTGGGCCCAGAGGCAGGCACCAGACTGCTTTTGATGTTGGGCTGAAGGAGGCATGTTGCTTCAAGAAAACCGCGGTGGCAGTGCCTTGGCGCATTTTTTGTTCTAACTTTGGCCACCCATGTTTGGCTGCAGGAGGAGGAATGCGGGGTGCAGTTGGCTGGGCCCGCAATATTTGTGTTTCGCCCGCCTCCAGGCGGCGCCCCATCTCTTGCAGCAGCGGCAGCTCGGAGCTCAGCAACAAATCTGCGCAAGAAGTTGAGGGGGAAGCCAAGCCCAAGGGTCTCTCCCAGAAAAACAAGCTGAAAACCGAGAACGAGAGGTCTTTGTTCAGAGTTTGGACTTCTTCAAACCGTTTTGCGCCTTGCAAAAAGGGCCAGGGACCCAAAGGAAAGTACTCACCCCGCAAGGAAACGTTCGGCCTGCCACGGTGTCCAAGGGCAGGCGGTCGGCGTTCTTCTCCAAGAAGCCGTCGCAGGTGTAGGTCCTCGGCAAACGCAGGGGTTCCTCCGTGTCCCTTTTTTGGAACCTCCAAAAGGGGGCGAGCAGCTCAATGGAATCCACCCGCAAATGATGAAAATGATGATTCGCTTGTCATGAGGAAATCCAGTGACCCCTGGCACAGGGGCCAACCCGGTTGGCAGGCAAAACGCAAAAGCTGGGACCTGCCAAACCCCTGGCACTCGATCCGACACCTCAATACACTCGTTCGTCGCCAGTAAATTGGCCAGCAAGTCTAGAAACTTAAGAAACGAGTCAAACACGCAGGTCGGGACTCCAGAGCACCTCGAATGACCCCCCTCGGCTGCAAAAGCAACCAATCCCGATTGCACTCGCCAACTTTCACCAAGCAAAATATGGAACAAACTTGCTGAACCAACCAGACCAAAGTCAGCTGTCAAAGCGAGATTGAACAAAGACGGAAGAGAAATAACAGGTTTGAGCAACGGGCAACGACCCTTCGACAAACTGTCCACCTATTCCCAACTTCCCGTCGCTCGCCTCTTTCGGCCTGCCCGAAGTGGGGATTGTCAATTCTCCACCAAGGTAGACATAAGCCCATCTTCTTTTGGACTACTGACTACTGAACCTAGCCTGCATATCTCTGTCTACCCTTGGGAAAGGTCAAAAAGGTGTGTCGTCATCTTGTAGGAGAAGATGGCCTTCCTGGTATTTCCCTCTAAATCAGCCCCAAAAGATTGACCCCTAGAAAAAGCCACACCTTCAGAGTGACTCCACATTTCGATCACTTCGATCGAGCAACTGGGCCTTCCGTTTGGGTTTCAAACGAGTACACAGAAACCGAGTCGTCCCGAGTCGACCTCCCGGACACCGTGGCCAAGTCGGGTCGGTTCGAGCGGCACCGTGGCCGCGTAGTGATGGATGCCGAAGGTGGCCTCGGGCCGATCGACCCAGCTGCGTTTGCTTTGGTTGGCTTGGCTTGGTTGATAGTTGTTTCTTCCAATGCCGATTCAGAGCCCAGCCAAGGGGAGCCATGGAAAGTTCATGGCCAGGTCCTCGGCCACTGATCGCCTCACCTGTCCATGGCTTCCGCCCTGTCTATTGACACCATGGAACCAGGGAGACCTCAAGTCAGGTGCAACCTCAGCCGTTGAAACATGCCTGAATACCATACTCCTCGTATACCGGTAGACTTCTGCAGTTGTCCCATCTTCAGTGGCCACCCTCTTGGATTCTTTTGCGGGGCTTCGGCCTGGCCTCCATTCCAACACCAGAAACCCCATCAGCTGATCCTCCAAACCCTCCCCTTGAGCTGCGACTCTGACCCTTCCCCTTCTCCCGTGGGGCATAGAAGAACACCTTTCCTGCTTTGGGGGGGGATCCCACATCTTTCCCAACAACATTCAGCAATGTCCCCGAACCATGAATACAAAATATAAATGTTGGTACATATGACGAAAGTACCATATTCACACTTCATAGAAAAACGCATCCTAGACAGATTGATAGAAACCCCCCAGCCCAAAGTGGTCGGTTCTCCTCTTGGTGTCTCTTTCAAACCACCAAAACAGGGGTGTCCTCAAAAAGGGACACCCGGACCTAAAAGAATATCCCTCTTTCTCCCCCCAGTCCGCCCTCAGCCCCCGCCAATCTCCCGCCAATCTCCCGCCCACGCCAACTCCAGGGCCAAGCAGCGCTGCCGTAGAACTTCGGGGTCACCAGCCTTCGGTGCTTGCCCTGCGACTTCAGCACCTCTCCGGGCCACGTCCCCGTCGGCTTCCCAACGCATGCCGCTTTTGGTTTGGAGATTTGGTTGGGGTTCAAATCCAAGCAAAAAAAAAGCTTGGGAAGCTGACAACGGGCCCCCGAAAAAAGCAACTTGCCTCGTTTGATCTGCCGGGCTCAACCAGCCGGTTGTCCCATCACATTGCCCCTATGTCGGAGTATCTTGCGGTTTCACGGAATCTGAGGAACCCCAGCTTCTCCTTTTCGAGGGGTGCCCAAGCCGCCCGCATCTGTGTCTTTACCCCGAAGCAGCGTGGTAAAAGATGCGAGCACCGGGGCCTTGTTGGTGAAGCTCAGGTCGGTTGCCTTGGGCATGGCCAGCTCCTGACCGCGAGTTACTCGCCGAGGGAGCAAAACAAGCTGGGAGTACAGCTGGGGCCATGAAAACGAAGACGAAAAGGATGGGGATGCTGGGGCAACCAATTTGAGCCCCTTTACCCCATAAGCTTCTTGTAAGTTCCCCAGACTGGGGTGAAAACCGAGTCGGCGACCGATCAGACCTCGAATTTGTGCACCAGCTGGGGTGATGAGCAAAAGCGAAGCACCTTTCTTCCTTCCTGCCTTCCTTCCTTTCTCCTTCCTGCCTTCCTTCCTTTTCTACTTCCTTCCTTTTCTACTTCCTTCCTTTTCTACTTCCTTCCTTTCTTTCTTTCTTCCTTCCTTCCTTCCTTCCTTTCGTTCTTTCGTTCTTTCTTTATTTCTTTTCTTTCTTTCTATCTTTGTTTGTTTTTGGGGGGAGGCTGCTTGAAGCTCGTTCTGGCTTGCCTTTGACCGACCCAACCGCTTGGTTCGTTTTGGGGCTGAAGAAGAGAAGATCTGAGAGGGTGTTCTCGAAGCGGATGGATTTCTCTCACTATCGGAATCGGACCCCCCAAAAAACTGGCGCAACGGATTCCTGTTGGTGTCCCTCTAAACCCATCCAAAAAGGGGACCGATTCAGGGCTCGCTCTCTCTCTCTCTCTCTTTTTTGCGAGGGTACCTGGCTCCTCGGGCTTCAAAGGGAAACCAAAAGGAAACTGCACATGTTGGTTTCCCCCCTCAGACAATCCCCCTCGAAGAAAAGAACACCAACCCTTGTTGGGCCCTGGCCTCGTCCAGGATGTCCAGCACACCGCCTTTGCCGTCCAAGAGCGCCACCACGTCCGAGTTGTCCTCGTACCTCCCACCCCCCCCCAACAACAAAACACTTAAAGGAAGAAAAACCACACAGCAGAAAGCATCGCAGCAAAAAAGAGAGAAAATGACAGGAAACAAACAAGAAAGGATGAAACGCACCAACCTGAGCTCCATCCTTCTCTCAAGTTTCGCAGATATTTGGGGGTGTACATGCATCCAACAGACCAATACACGACACATCCTGGCGTGCGAGCAAATGCCTGGCGAGCGCCGTGCTTTGGCGGATTTGATATTTTCACAGATCATATTTCCAGGGGCCATGGCAAAGTTGATGAAGAGCCCCTGGCTGATTTTGAGTGTAGGTCCTTACAACACAGGCACAGAGAAAGTTGCTGCAGAACCCTGGTTCGTTTGATCAGGGTCCTGTCCCGTTTTGGAAATGCTTCCCTCCAGTAATCATAGATTCCCTTTAAACCAAACAGGGGATCAAAACAAATATGTGCTTCAGCCAATCCGTAAGCCGTAGGTCGGGAACCTTTTGTATCCCCAGGCGCAAGCCCCGGATTCCGACGACCAGAAGCAGTCAAAAGTTCAGTGGCAAAACGACCGTCACGTCGAAAAGTCGCATGGCAGTCGATGTGGATGAGGATGGATATGTCTGCAAACTACCGATGATGACTCAAAACCAGTGCTAAGCCAGCTCCAAGCCAGGACAAATGCGGTCAGTGAGGCAAATCCAAGTTCGGGTCACCGGATCTCGCCGAGGTCAATCCCCTCCTTCAGGCAATCCTCAATCTCGGACTTGAAGACGGCCTATTCAGCTCCGGCGCTTGGGGGCCCCAAACGAGACGTGTCAACAGTCACGGGCGCCAACTTGGGTCACAGCAAATATGAAACCAAGCAAAACCAAAGCCAACTGAAAACAACCAAAAACCAAAACCAACCAAAAACAACCAAACCCAACCCAAAAACAACCAAAACCAACCAACACCAGCCAACAAGGCAAACCCATGGCCTTTGGCCGGGAGTGGCCGATCTTTTACCAGTTGCTCCAAAGACCCTACCGCACGAGGGTAGATGTGGTCCCTCATCGGGAAATCAAAGGAAAGCAAAACCAACTGTCCACCCAACTCGTTCTGTTTTAGGGGACCCCCCAAAATGTTTGGTTTTCCTCTTTGGGCCTTGGGAAGGAAGAAGTCTAGCCACATCATGTGTTTTTCTTCTACCCATCTTGAATCCTTTCCAACCCACTTGCAGCAACCCTTTCCAGCCACATCACTTGTTCTTTCTTCACATCACTCTGGCTCTGTTGCTACTTTGGCCCACCATTTCATTTCCTATTTCCATCAGCAAACCATCTTGAGGTACCAGTCTGGTCCCCCGTTCGCAGTCGCTTTGCTGCCCGCAAACCAGCGGATGCCCGCCCGAAAATGGCGCGCATGGCGCGCATGGCGCGCTTGGCGCATGGCGCATGGCGAATCGAAGGGCCTCGTTAAACTGCTGCTGGAGCTCCTCGTTGCTGAGATTGATCAGCAGCTGCTCCAGGGAGTTGGTCCCGAAACTCTCAAAGCCGCTGATGTCCAGCACCCCTTGATCCCGAGGAGCCGATCGAGGCGAAGCGCCGCAGCGCCGCAGCGCCGAAGCCGCGGCAGAAAAGACCGACAGGAGAGTGCACTTTGAGGACCCACAAGGGAAGATGAGCCAAAAAGCACAAAGCAAGGGTTTTGGGAAAGATGGAAGATTCATCCATGTGCAAGGGTGTCAAGCATGATTTAGCCATATCTGTTTACACAACCTCCTGTTTAGTGTCTCGTTAAACGGTGGCCAGGTCCAATGCTTTCACACATCCAAACCCAGCTCACGACGTCCAGCCCGCTTTTCCAGCTAACATGTCGAACTGGGAGGACCTGCGAGACTTGTGACAAGGGCCCCAACCAGATGTCCCCCACAAAAGACATGGGCTTTATGTAGTGGCTGCACGAGGAACTGGATCTTTCCAACGAAGTCACCAACAAGATAGTGGTTCTCCCTCTGGCTTCCCTTCAAAACCAAAACAAGCTCATTTGCTCATCCCTGAAAGGCAGCCAGCTATCCCCCCCAAGACAAGAAACGTGCCCGCATGGGGAAAAAAGAACTCCGTTCTGGTTCCGTGCCCCCTGAGCCTGCGGTTTTTGACAAGCACAACTCCATCCCAGACATGAGGCTTCCGCCACAGCCTCGCGGTTTCGGGATCTCTCGCCCTCGGATTTAGCACAGGGTTTGGCTCTTCTACTGTGGTCTTTTCTTGGCTGGGGCCTGAAAATGTGCTTTTTGGCGTGCGGGTGTTGTTTGGGCTCTTGTTGCCCAAAGGCCGGGGTTGCCCTGGCAAAACGCACGGCCGATCCCCTCTTTTATTGACGACAAATCACGCCCGATCCGGCTCGCGCCTAGAAGCCGATCTGCGCCTGGAATGATCTGCTGAAGTCGGCAGAAAAGCAAAACTGTCCAACCCTTGGTATGGTGGCAAAAAACGATGGTTTTGGCAGCCCGACTGCAAATGAACAGAAAGCCCAAACGAAGCCAAAAAGTCTAAAACATGCCAACAACAGTGAAGAAAAGGAAACGCCGGTTTATGGCACAAGTACAAAATTCCCTTGTGATCACTTCCTGTGTGATCGGTTCAAAATCCCTGAACAGAACTTCAAACGAAATGTTGAACAGGGCACACCCCTGTACAGGGTGAAAGTAGCCGGAACAAGTTGCTTGTAGGTTAACAAGGGAGATGACTATACCAGAATGCGGGAATTGCGCCATCCACTTTCACCCAGCCGTGCAAGGCTGACATAATGGCAACTTCGGATTGGTCCCTGAAGAAATGGTAAACATACCCAGATTATGTTTGAGATGAAATTGATCTTCCAGGTACCCTCACACAAATTTTAAGTTTTGGGACCAGTTTATGTGAGGAGATTTGTGCGGACTGAACCTCACGTCATTTCAGCCCGAGCTTATACTGTTCTGCCTCTTTACCCAAGTTTCCCCTTGAAACCCGAAAAGACGGTTCGCGGAAAGAACAACATGAAAAACCAAACCTCACGCAGCCCTTCGAGGGAAGCGTCCGTCGCACCGACCGCACCTGGCTTCTGGCCGTTGGTCATTTCCAGGCCATCATTCATGCGCTGGATCAGCCAGTCGAACAATCCTCGGTGGTAAAACGACCGTCAGTGGAGCAAAAAAAATGGTCCCGCCGGATGCTTGTAGAACCAAACTGAAACCATCTCTCTTGGAGCTGGAGCCGAACTGAAACTAGAATCCATCGATGCTCAGACCGTCAACCAGCATGTCAAGAGAAAAGACGGCCATTTCATGCAATGAACTATCGGTGAAGCCAGTTGCCATATCGACTCAGTTGCCACTCTTGGCTTCTAGGGGTAAGACCCCACGTCTAGCCGAACCCAGAACCCCAGCTTCTGTGCCGAACTTCAGAAATGGACCCCAAGTTGTTGACCGGAAAAGAAACCAAAAGGAAACCAACAAATCTGTATCCGCCTTTATTGTTGGTAAAGGTTGGACCGGGGCCCAAAAAAATGGCGCAAGTGTTTTGTTTTCTTCCTTTTTGTTTTTCGCCCTTGACAAAGACGGTTACAACTACGGAAAGCTCGTCTCAGCACAATCACCATGAGAATCTAACAGCTGTCTGCTCTTGTAGGTAGTTGATTTGCTCTCCTTTGGAATATGATTTTTCGGCTCAAAACGTGAGGGGTTCCCCAGGTCCCTGTCCTTTCTTTGGGCAGAACCAGGGCGTATTTCCGTCCGAAACTTGGTGGCTGGTTTCCGTTGGCTTCCTGGGCACCGATTTTTTTCCGATGGATCGGAAAAGCAGGGGGATCCAGTGGAGTGGGTTCGTGCCTTTTTGAGCTTCACGGTAGGCACAGGGGCCCCCCCAACTCAAGGCCGAGGGTCGGCCATAGAGCACGCGGCCGAGCCCGTCCCGCGCAGCTCGGGCCTGATCCAAACGCAGCGGCGTCTCAATGCAGTCCTCGGAGCGGCCGAGCGCTAAAGGCGGCGAGTTGATTCCCCCCCCCCCCCCGCGCCTCCTCCAAAAAAACAACGAAAGCAACAGAACGGTGCCACAATTGGAAACTCCTGTTGAGGGATGGTAAGTATCCCCACTGCAACTTGGGGAACCAGGTTTGCTAGTTAGAACCCTGCGTTTTGTGGCGGATAAAAACAAAAAAAAGATATATGCTCAAGAGGGGCGCGCCTCCTTTGGACCTAGCAAAATTGGGGGAGACGGAAGGCTCTGAAAAAGACGCTGCCTATGGTTGGCCTCGTTTTGGAGCCCCCCTTTCAATACCGACCAAAGAAGCTCGCGTGCCGGGCAGTGCCGGGGGCGGGTGTTGGTTTGGCGAAAGCCAGCGGAACCCGAAAACCTGTTGGTGCTGGGTGCCGCTGCTTCAGTTGGAACCACTGTGTTGGTGGCGGTAAAACGTAAGCATGTGTCCAGGAGCGCATCACCTTTGGCCCTGCAACAATAAAGCTCCATTTGGGAACAGGGTGGTGTTGAAGGGAATCCACCAGGCAAACCGAAGCAAGCCATTCTGCGAATCCCCCCCCCCCACTGTCGAGACATATCCCACACCTTCTTCAAACATATTTTCCAGCCACCCGTTGTTTAACAGCTGCAAGAGCACCGGTGTCCCAGGCTATGGTGTTCACATTAAGAAAAAGTCAAAAAGAAAAATTGGACACCTTCCCCGAGTCCCCGAGTCCCCGAGTCCGGTCCATCCGCTCGCCCTCCGAGGCGCCCGTCCGGTGACCACCTTCCGGCGCCTCAGGCCCTGCGCCAGCCGCTCCGGCGCCACCCGTAGCGCCCGCGCGGCCGCCTCGGCGCCCACCAGGCCCAGCTCCTCGCGGAAAACAGAAAACACGAGGTGGCCCCCCGAGCTCTGTGCGGCTAAGTCAAGGGAAGACCAAGGAGACACGTCTTTTTAACCCCCGATGCTCCTTCTTTGATACCTTTGCGACCTCCTTCTTATTTATTGGTCTAAGAGGAGAGTGAGGCTGCCAAAAAGCCAAGCGTCCATGTCACGGGGGGGTTAAGACTCATTTGGGTGTGAAAATCGTGTGCTTTTAAGCAAAGGCCACCTTCGGTTCCCTTCAAATCGATGGCTCCCTTTGGAGCTCTGGAGCCACAAGGGAACCACCCATAAAGGTTCCCTAGGATTCGAGCACTTTAACTTGCAGTGTTCCTGTCCCGGGTTCCTCTAACTCGACTTGCCCAAAATTGGCCATTGGTTGAAGAGGAGAAGAACACAACCATTTTCCACAGCCAAACTTTCCACAACCACTTTGGCCATGGGTCAAAATCCCATACCCCCAGTGAACATCCCAATCCCTACAAGAATAGACTAAAATGGGTAGTGCACCTACCCCAAAATGGGATCCCAGTAGTCTTGACCCACAACCAACCCCCCCCCCTCTCTCCTCGCCGTCCTCGGCCTCCCCAAACTCGCAGTTTCCCAAGCTCAGAATTCCCGCCAGGATCTGGAAGGCCTCGGGTGCCAGTTTACTAGTTGAAGCCATAGCCCCCTTTTTGGGTGCTGGGCTATCCAGGGAATCCAGCAGACGTGGTGAGGCCAATGTCCAAGAGGAGCCCAGTGGCCCTCGAAAGCTGCCGAAGGCTTGTGATTGGCTATTGAAATCAGTGGCAACCCAACGCGGAGTTGGCAAACCCAGGCAAGCAGAATACCCAATCACATCCGTACTCCTTTTCTGGGTCCCGTGCCAACCCTATGTCTATATGGCTTCACATGGCCTGAACCACCAAAAGGGTTCCTGACCCTGAGGAGGTACAACAGCGCTTGGAGTTTTGGATTCAGAGGAAAAAGGCAGAGCTTGTCAAAAGAACAAATGGGTGAAAATTGTGCCATCCATGTACTGCAGGTTTATACCCCAAACAGAACCCAGCACGGAGAAACAGCACGGTCGCCTGCATCTGTTCCTCCTCGGAAAAGCCCAGCACATGCAGCGCACGCCCTTGGTGCAAGATGCAAAATCCCCGACATCCGACGAGATGTCCACGTGTGCCATGCTCAAAATCCCGTCTCTTTGGCCAATTGGGTCAAGGCGGTCTACATGGGAACCATCTAAAATGTCCCAAACCGCAGGTAGCCAGCGATGTGCTTTTTGGTACAGGGTGATTCCTTGTTAAATGGATCTGATGGGAACACTTGGGGTTGTCTTGTTGCCAAATCATTTTCCGAAAGCTTGCCATAGAGGAATCCCTCCTTCCCTCTTCAAGCCTCGTGGCTGTCTACATCAGCGATCCTATCTTCACTACCAAGCCCAAAGGTTGATAGGGCCTCGGACCACCCAACATTCCATCAAGCTCATGACAGACTCCCCAAACTCGACCAGCAGCAACTTGTGAGTTGCTTGGTTGCTTGCTTTCCCAGGCAAGGGCACGGAGGTCCGAGAAGTTCTGCTTGTCATCAATGCCAGGGGCACGGAGAACGCTGTTCTTCAAGTAGCCTCGAGGCAGGCGAATGGCTCTTTTTCCCCATAGCGGGAGCGCCGTTTTCGGAGTTGCTACCCTGGGCGGAAAACCCCAGAAAAATAAAAGAAACTCTTGTACTCTCGAAAGCCGTGGTCATCCAAATATAAGAAGGAGGTACCAGCCAGTACCCTTGCTGGGGTGAATTGTCTCGCCTTTGATCGGCGAAGTGTTTACGTGACCTAAAGAAAATGGTTGCTATATAGCACCCCCAAGCATCTTGGGCTTAAAAAAAGGCCTTTGTTGAGGTCCCAAACCTTCCAATGAAGGTCCTCCATTTCTTCAATAGAGTAGCGTTAAGGGTACCTTCTTGCAACAATCCAAGTGGGCGGTCCGCAGGCTGCTGAAAGAGAGGATGGCTCTCTTGCAAACCTCTCGAACTCCCATCACAAGGAAGAAAAACACGAGGCGCGTGATTAGTGATTTAAACCAAAAAAGTAAAGCTGACTCTGGCACGTGTTGCAAACCGATGCCTGAAGCTCCAACACAGCTCCCAGGACCTGGGAAGATGGAAGATACCTGTCCTCTTTAAACGGGTACTTGGCAGTGTGAGTCGACAGGGTATCAGGGTTTGGGCGACTCTCGGACTCCCAGGAATCTGCCGAATCGCGCCGAACCCGTTGACCGTCCTTGGTTTGAACCCTGAGGGGCTGAAGCACCCAGGCCGGCAGCCTCTGCGAAGGACAAAGCGTACCAGGCCACGGCAAAGACGTGCGAAACAAAAAGCGATCAAGATAGCCCACTCCGAAAGAAACAAAAAGAGCCTGGCCCAAAGGAATAGCTTCTTAGCTCTACCCCCCTCCCCAGCTAGGCGCCCGGCGGTAGGCTTCCGGCGCTTGCAGGTTCAACGCTTTCAGGCCCGGCTCGTCGCGGGCCTGCGGCGGATCTCGCAGGCGGCGGTCCCCCGAAAACCCGCGGCGACTTTGGCACAGGGTAGGGTCTACCGGCAAGTTTTGCATTTTTTTGGGTGGAGTCTATGGCTATCAACCACGTAGGTGGGGAGTTCCGGCGGCCGCTCGGGCACTGCACAAGACTCATAGGGCAGAGTCAAGCATCTTTTGTTCGGTTTACTGACAAATGCGTGGGTCGGATTGGATCCTTTTTCAGCAATAACCGGGCCCCGTTGTGCGTGTGAAAGGAATTGAAAGCTTTGGGGTCCCCTCATTTTACAACGAATCGGGTTGGTTCCACAGATTTCCCCCCAACGAATGTTCGAGGCGGCCAGGATATGACTGCTACTCCACAGGGTTACCCCACACAATTCTGCAGTACGTGTCTGTCAGTTCCTCTGAAGGCTGGGTTGTTCTGACAGTTGGCAAAACGAAAACTTACCGTGACCTCTCATGTCAGGGGTCCTTCTATTCCCAGTCTCTGGAGAATGGTTGCAGCTTGGATCTTTGTCGCAAATCTTGGTTGCAAGGATCATGTGTAACTGCACCCCGAGTGGTACGTACCAGTGACCAAAAAGCCGAAAAGGGGGTTGGTTCCGTCAGAGATCAGCTACTGTGCCGCTCCTTCATGCCAACGCCGAGCAATGAGCCCTCGCTCAGATTTGTCCCAACCCGCTTTCTTTTTCTCGCCCATTTGGGTCCCTGCCGTAGAATCTTCCCGGGCTTCCCTTGGCCCTTTCAAACCATCCAACACGAGGGGTATGAAGAATCCTGGGGCAAATTAGAAGAAAAACCAGAAACAGCTTTCTTGCTCTCCTCGTTGGCTGAAGCCTTCGCGTCTAATCGGAATCCCCGACAAAACGCGCCTGGGTCAGCTGGAAGAAGATGTGGAAGCCGCGCTCGCCTTCACACTGCCCACCTCAGTCAAAAGCGAACGCCAACCCGCGATTGAGGCTTGGCGCTGCGCGCGGAAAACGCAGAGCGGAAAAAAACAACCAAATGTGCGGAAAAACAAAGCACAGTCTCTGCGGAAAAAGCGGACCCCTCCTGAAAGGGGGCCGTGATGAAGGTTGTCTTGGGGATCCGCTTTTCGAGCTGGAATCCGGCAATCCAGCTCGAAAAGCGGATCCCCAGCCAATCCCTCCTGAAAGGGGGCCGTGATGAAGGTTGTCTTGGGGATCCGCTTTTCGAGCTGGAATCCGGCACTCCAGCTCGAAAAAGGGATCCCCAGCCAATCCCTCCTGAACGTGATGAAGGTTGTCGAGCTGGAATCCGGCAATCCAGCTCGAAAAGCGGATCCCCAGCCAATCCCTCCTGAAAGGGGGCCGTGATGAAGGTTGTCTTGGGGATCCGCTTTTCGAGCTGGAATCCGGCATTCCAGCTCGAAAAGCGGATCCCCGGCCAATCCCTCCTGAAAGGGGGCCGTGATGAAGGTTGTCTTGGGGATCCGCTTTTCGAGCTGGAATCCGGCATTCCAGCTCGAAAAGCGGATCCCCGGCCAATCCCTCCTGAAAAGGGGGCCGTGATGAAGGTTGTCTTGGGGATCCGCTTTTCGAGCTGGAATCCGGCATTCCAGCTCGAAAAGCGGATCCCCGGCCAATCCCTCCTGAAAGGGGGCCGTGATGAAGGTTGTCTTGGGGATCCGCTTTTTCCAGCTCCAGCTGGAATCCGGCGGAAAAGCGGATCCCCGGCCAATCCCTCCTGAAAGGGGGCCGTGATGAAGGTTGTCTTGGGGATCCGCTTTTCGAGCTGGAATCCGGCATTCCAGCTCGAAAAGCGGATCCCCGCCAATCCCTCCTGAAAGGAAGAAAGGAGCCTTAGAAAGGAGCCTTAGAAAGGAGCCTGAGAAAGGAGCCTTAGAAAGGAGCCTTAGAAAGGAAGGAGCTTCCTACCCCTATACTTTTCCGCGTGTAGTGGCTTCACTTCCGTAAGCAGTGACAGTTTCACTTCCGTAAGCAGTGACACCTTATCCGCTCAGAGTGATCATGATTCCGCAAGATGTGACAAGTCTTCCCGCGATTTGCCCCGAACGTATCACCAGACCCCTGGAACATACCCCATAAGCCAAACATCAGAGCAACTCAGGTAAATAAGCCCAGTCTCATGTTTCCTCTTTGGGGTTTGGTCTGGGGCTCAGTGGGGGAAGTCATTGAAATATCCCACATGGTTTATGCACTACCGGCTCCGGTGAGTCCTTTGTCCAATTCACACCCCCACCGAGACTCGCGAGTCAGGCGAGCCGAGCCCCGCACAAACACGGGTCAGCTCCAGCAAGTAGCTGGTGATGCGACACCCCCGCATGGCGAGCGCCTCGCAAGAACGACTCGATCAACCGTCCACTGGCCACCGTCCTTGAACTGAGCTCTCCAAAGAAACCACCGCCTGGTGGCCAGCGGAACGAAATGTGTTCACTTTTTTGCTTGAAACCCCCGTTTTGGCTCTTGGCCCTTTTTCCCAAAGAATCTTTGGGGCATCGACACCATTTTGGTTGGGGGAAGGTAGATGAAGCCGGGGGTCGCTTTTTTGCGAATCACCCATGACCCAGTTTCTACCATGCCCAGCAAGTCGCTGCCAAAATACTCCCTGACAGAAGATGATATAGCAAAGCAAAATTCATGGGAGGAGCGTTGTGTAAGCTGGGACCAGCAGCTTGCATTGACTCTAAGTCTAGCTGCAACGTTGGGCTTTCGGCTGCAAGCTATGCAAGCGTTCCCGTCACCAAGTCACACACCGACCTACCCTCTTTCCAACAATGGACCTGGACAGGGAGGTGCCCAATAGTCGTGGAGAGATCTCTCCCCCCACTTGAGACAAATCTCAAGTGGGAATCCTGTTCCGCATGGGTTCCAACAAAAAAACCTAGAAGACCCATGCCACCCCCCTCACTACGAATCCTCACAACATCGCCCCACTGCCTGGGAGAATCGCAGGTCCAACCACTTCCCGAAGCGGCTGGAGTTGGCGTTCCTGCGGAAAACTCCTGATAGCCTGCTCCCTTTCGAGCTGAAATAGCAACAACATGCTGGTTGATGAGCCGATTGACCCACTAAGTCTTGGTTCATCGCAACAAACCACGAATCGGGGTCTTCGAAGAGGCGACGTGTCAAATCCCAAGAATGCGAAAAGAGGCTCCGGAACCCGGAAGCAGTCATGGCGAGACCTCAATTGAGTGTCCTTTTCAACACCAAAACGGGTTCTGCATGGTTCAACCGTGAAACGCGCCAATCCATCCTGGGCCGTCCAGAACAAAGGTCCTGCTGGTGCGCAAAAAAAGATCGGACGGGTTGCGCCTTGTGCACGCAGGCTGTTGTTTGGGTCTTAAGTCTTCCCTCGCTGACGCACACAACGGGAATCCAAACATCAAACTTCATGAAACAGAGCAATGCACCATCCGAAAGTAATGCGTTCACTACGGAAGAATGGGCGAGGTCGCACTCCTGTTGTCAAAGTGGAGAGCTTAGTTTTCTCGAAAAGTTTCGGGTCCCCTGCCAAAACGGCAACACTCTCAAGAGAATCAGACGCTTCTTCCAGGCGGTCCCAGCCACCGGTCCTGGTGGTCATGGCATTGCCGAAGGACTCCAGCACCGGGTTGGTCTGCACCACCCGCTCCTCCACATGCGCTCCATGAGCCCCATCAGCGTCGTGGCCTCGGCCAGCCGTGGGCTTGCGGCTGGTTTCGTGGGAAGGGAAACACGGGGAACAAGAAATCCGACAGAAACAGCGGGAAACTGCACAAAACCTGGAAAGACGGCAAGGGAAAAAAGACACCAAATAGTTGAGAACTCCACAAAGCATGAGCCAGAACCTTCCAACATCCCCAAAGGAGCACTTACGGTACCTCTCTTAGCCCTGGCGGAAACACCGGGGAAACAGCAGCTCTCAACTGATCTCAACAAATGAAAAGGAGATGGTGAGAGGGAAACAAGGGTAATGGAGAAGTGCAGGAAGGGAAGCGATCCAGAGCTTTATGATTGGCATGCTGTGTGTCTTTGAGGTAGGATCTTCACTCGCGTATAGCTTTCTCATTCTCTTTTCATTCTTGGTCTGTCTACTATCTAGGTCTACCCATGTGAGTGAAGAGATGGATGGAATCTTCGCCTGGCGCCCAAAAGTGGATAGGGTTGAGAAAGGGAAGTGCCTCCTTTCTTCTGTCGTTCTTCGCCGGGAACAGCAGACATGGAAACCACATGCCCATGACCGAGTGACCAACCGCCGGTTTGAGCGGGTGCTGGGGAACTTCCACAGCTTGCCGCTGACCCCATTGCGTTGCGTTGCGGAAATGGGGTTGCTGAGATCTGCAGGTGTCCGGACTTCTGTCAGACAGATCATTTTGGTGGTAAACCAACAGATCCAAAGTGTGCAATCCAACGGAATGCAGAGCATCTTGCGTGGCAAAGGATCGGTTCCGCACCCCCCCTCATGTGGTGGACACTTGGTTTTTGGGGGTTTTGTTTCCTTTGGGCTTGAGCTTGCAAAATATGGGTGGTGTGTCATCTTCTTTCTTTTGGAGCCCTAGGTTCTTCCATCAGACACATCCGCAAGAACGGCCTGTTCTATGGCCCCCCGGCCAGCCTTTCACGCACTCCGCCACGTAGGTCAAAAGGAACTTGGCGGATTCTGTCTTCCCGGCGCCTGACTCCCCGCTGATGACGATGGCCTGGTCCTTTTCGACGTGATTTTCAGCCGAGGGGCTTCCTGGAAAAGGGTCTGAGAGTCATCACTTTTCTTGGCATCCACCCGCCGACCACGGCTTCTTGGACAGTACTTGGGATTTCGGACATGGGAAAAAGCAGTTGTTGGGTGGTTCTAGATGTTGCTTTATGTTTCTTGGTTCTGTTGGGGGTTGGGAAGATGCGGCATGCTCATTAGACATGGACGCTAGGTGAGTACTGTGGACAAAGCCCACTTCGCGCCCGTTGGGCTTGGCGTTTTTCACAACATGCTGGTGAAACAGGGCCAAAATCTGATCTGTTTACCGGTGGGTTCCAAAAAGTCCCACTTGAGGTCCAACAATGGGACCTGGCTTGGGACCCCCTGCGCCTCAGGAGCCGTTGACCCGCATGAAAAAGCCCATCCTATCTACAGGTCTAAGTGGTGTGACCCCCCCTTGTCTAAGAAAGGGACACCCCTACAAGAGGTGTCTGCATCTGGGGGCAGCCCTTGAACCCTCGACTCGGCTCGACGGTCCTTGGTGCCCTGTGCCAGGCCCCGCAAGGCGTCGTGGCCTGCCGGCAAAACGGGAGGAACAGAAAAGGAACCTCCTACCAAAGATCCAACAAAAACCAAGCAACAACTTTGGGGTCATTGCCAATGAAGACGTAATCAAAAATAAGTTCCGAACCTGGCAACTGTGAAGACTCCATGACCCTTTCTCACGGCAACGAGAGGCTAAAGCCAAACATATATTTTTCTTGGGGCGGTCGCCCTCATTTTGGTTGCCGAATTTATGTCCGGGGTGGGTTCCTTTAAAAGCCACCATTTAGAAGGAAATCGCGAGGACGTGCTTTTCATGGTCCTAGTTTTGGGTTGCTCTTCATCAGGACACATACTTCACATACTTTTTTTGGGGGGGGGACTGACAGAGAGCACGCGCTTGATATCTGGGGTGTATGCTGGTTTGCGTTTATTCTATCAAAAGGCATTCTCCAGGGCAAATAGGAAGGGGTTGGACAAACCATCTCGGGTGCGTTGACTGGTTTGTTTGGTTTGTCGCTTGTGACTTTGTTCTTTGATCCGGGCAGTTTGAGGCACCTTGCAGCACATCAGTGGGCTGATGGAACAAAATGAGTGAATCATGCTGTCTGGGCAGCCTCGTTTTTGTTGGGTCAGCTACTTCTGAGCACCAGTCATTCAGACCTTCCTGCAGTGGCTCCCTTCCCGCTCGTTCTGTCTGAATCTCCCTTTAGAGTTTGGGACGCGCCAGAAAAAAGAACATGGAGCCAAATCTGGCGGTGATGGAAATACGATGTCAGAGTCTGGACATCGCGGACTGTGTGCGCCCTCAGCACGGGCCATGGAAAGGCGGCCCAAGCAAAAAATGAGGGCATTTCTGACCCCTCAGGTGCAGAACCCAAACAAAAACCACGGACCCCAAACAAGACTCTGAGAGCAAAACAAAGCCACGCAAAAAGCCCCGTTTGAAGGTGCGAGGACCGTATCCTTTCGAAACAAGGCAAGGATGTTGCGGACCTCTGAACCAGCCCAAATTTTGAGGGGGTCGGACAAAAGGGAGGCTGTACAAGTTTGCAACTGGAGGGTTTACATGTGGAAATCCCAACCAATATCTCCGTATGTCTCTCCTTCGCAAAAACACACACCCTTAACAAAAATAGATGGAATCATCCAACCCAGCGGACCTCTTGATTTTTCAAACAGGCGGCGTCCAAACCGAAAAACAAGCTCGCCGCCGGAGCTCCCACACCCAGCGCTCGTTTTCGAAGCAGAGCTCGGCGCGCGCTCACCGAGCGGCCGGTGCCGAAGATGTGGGGCGCCAACTCCGCGGAGTCCTTGGCCTGTTTGAACCGGTCCAGGCACCTGAGGGACTGGGGGCGGAAGAAAGGGCCCGGAGAACCCCCGGGGCCCGGAAAAGCCTGGAGAAGCCTGGAGAAGTCGGGAGAGAATGGAGAGAATCAGAATCTGAACTCTGAACCCGCACTTTGGGCATGGGCCGACTTTTGAACCCGCACTACATGACGGCGCTTTGTGCCGTCGACTTGGAGGGTGCCCTTTGCCACTACATTGAATGGGACCCCGTTTTGCACGTCAGCTTTCGCTTTGACTCATCGACCGGGGCTCGCCCAGCTCAGCCGCCCCGAGGCTCGGGCTCCGAGCGGTAGATGGGCAGCGGGCAGAAGGGGTTCACCGAGATCAGAATCCGCGCCACCCGGGTGTAGATGTCTTGCCTCACCGAATTCCCACGTCGGGGCCATGGATAACCCCCGCTGCCTTGAACGTTCTTTTTCAGCCATGCCGGGGTTGGCAAAAGTCGGGTCTTTTCCAACATGCTGGGGGGGAGCTTTTGGCTTCCTTTTGGCTTCATGTTTTCCCGGTTGGCTACTTTGTTTGTTGGTTTCTTCAAAAAATACATGTAACGACCAACAGGGTCCAAACACCCGCGATTGGAAAATCATCGCCCTAGGGCACCAGGCATGTGGACCCAAAAGGAAAATTGGAACCCTTCACTTGGACTTCAAGATGTCCTTTTCCTTGAACAGCCATCCCAACAAAAGTTACAACCTCCCCCCTCCATCCAGCACCATTGACGCCCGGAGCCGGCTTGTTTGAAGGAACTGTCGCCCTTTGGATGGGTGGTTTGGAAGACATGGAGTGGTTTCCCATTCCAAGAACCAGAAGTTCAATCCAAACCACAAACTAAAGGTTACCAGCACGTATGTGTCCACCCCCGCTGCCCTCACGTTTGTGAAGAATGTGAAGAAAAAGACATGCCCGCGTCAGGCAGAGCTGGGCCAAGTTCGAGCCAGTCCTCTGGTCGCCGAATAATGAACAGTAGTTGTTCCAGCCACACAGGGGAACTTGTGTTGTAGATGTGAAAGGCAAACCTCCCAAAAAGTCAAAGAGGAAACACTGGAAGACCCCACTCAAAGTCTAAAAACCCAAGAAACAACCACCCACACAGCCAGAACCAACCGCCCATGCGAAGCATTCGAGTCCTTCGCCTGGCGAAGCGCAGGCGCACCGCGTGCAACAGGGCGGGCTCTGAGACCGTGGACAACGCGCAAATGTCTTCGACCCCCTGCAGCTGGCCCTCCTCGAGCCAAGGCGACCCCGGATTCCCAGCAGCCCGCAAGTTGAGCGGAACCCTTTTTGGATCCAAGACAAAAAAAAAAAAAAAACGAGAAAAAACAGGGGGAAAAGAAGACCCACCCAGAGAGGTCCCTCGTTTTGAGGAACACCTAACGCCCAAGCTCCTGCACCTGCTCCAGGGCTTGCATGGCCCGCTCCGGGCACGCGAAGACCTCCCCATCCTCCAATCGATGCGTCACCGTTGACGCGGTTGACCGGGGCTGCGGCAAAACACGGGTCCAAAATCGGACACACACCCCAAAAGTCCGAAAACTTGGCGTTCGGTACACCAACCTCCAAAAAACCAATCACCGTTTTTGGACAGAGATGTGGTTGAAACCTCGTACGCAACAACCCATGCCGAGCCATCCTCCGACACCAAGGAGGCGTTTCCCGCCAAGTCGATGCTCTGCAGCCGGCACGGGAGCCACACTTCCTCCTTTCGACGGGCGCTAGAGCGAGACTTCTTGAGGACAAGGGGTGGTCACGTGTTTCTTGTATGTTGTGGGTGGCATTTGTTTCTGATTGATGTGTCCTATCTCTCTCTCTCTCTTTTTCTCTCTCTCTCTCTCTCTCTCTCTCTCTCTCTCTCTCTCTCCGTCTCTCTCTCCCTCTCTCTCTCTCTCTCTCTCTCTCTCTCTCTCTCTCTCTTTGTTGTGTGCTTTTTTCTCTGTGGCTGTCTTTCTTGAAGAAGGAAGCGCATCTAATCATACGATCGCATGCTGTAGTTGATACCAGAGTTGTTTGTTTTCTATATTCAGTTGATCATATGCGTCTGTCTATTTCTTGAGGGTACCCCTGTTTGCTGATGTTCAAATGAAACCACAAGGTAAACCGTTGCGACACTTGGAAAGTCCGATCCCCGAAAAAAAGGGACAAGGGGGGACAAGCCACCCATAGACCATTCGAAAGAGAGGGGTCCCAAATCCCAGCTGTGCGTCAAGCGATTCCCGTAAGCGTCTGATGTGAGCGTAATTAACAGTCGGGGTTTCTTCCACATGGGCAAATTGCTCGGCCCCTGATTCTTTTGCGGGATGTTTAGGGCTTATGTCCGGCCAGAACGAACCATGGACTCATGTGGTGTTGGGGGTTTGCCCGTAGAGATGGCTTTGGCTCGGCAAGATGACTCCAGACCACAATCGGCCCAAAGCGGCCGGATTTTAAGGATTTGTAACTGCAATGAGCTTTCAAGGACGTAAACCAACCTGAAGGTCCAAGCCCCTCTTGGAATGGACTTACGTGCCGGTGGTTCCCTACCGATCAAAACAATGCGAGGTCTACTGTGCGTGCTCCTAAGAACCTACTATCTCTTGGGGGTCACCCTCACCATCCCCAGAAACACCCTAACGAACACTTTTGACCCCAAATGCGCGCACAGGCAAACCCGAAAACCGTTTCCGAGATGCTTCTGGAAATTATGCAGCGTCTTACCCAGTGCCCCCAATATCTCGACCCAGGGCCTTTGTTTGCTGCGATTGCTCGAGTTTTCCCTCGGCAAGCTGAAAGAAGAGAGCGTTCCCCTTCTCCCTAACCTCCCTTCGAGCTGAATGGTGCGAAAAGGGCCGAAACCGGGAAGCCGAGGGCGTGCCCAACCCCATGCCGAGGATCAGCATTCTGCACCTTAGGGAACCCAAAGCGTCTTTTCTGTCGAGTCAAACACACCTGTTTGTTCCAAATCGGGTCTGAAAAATCCAAGCGCCTTCACCTCTTGAGGGGATTTCAAGGGCCTGGGACCCCACTCTTGATGCCAAAGCAACAGAAGGGCAGGAATCCGTCGCAACTCAAATTCCGACCTCAGAGTCGATCCCGACTTGTCGGGCCAGGGACAAGATGGCACCCCTGATTTCATGCGACCAAATGCTATGCACGGATCACTCTTAGTGGCGCCATCCCTAAGGAAAAATCGAACAAAGGTGGCTCCTGAAGGAGGAATGTCATAGAATGGTGCCCCCATTCCACAGAGAATGACTCATGGGGAGCCCATGTACAAGCCAAGCTGCCCAATACAAATCCAGCGTGTCGCTGAATGCGTCGCCATTTGCGTCACCATCATCCATATCAAGCTGGGAATCAACACGTTGGGCAAAGTTTGGGGAACTCGCCAATTGGACTTCTGTAATCCCCAAACGAGGCTCGTTAGAACTGTAAGGGCAGTGCGTTTTCCGGAAAAGCAACCTAGTCGTGGGTTGGGTGTGTGCGTGCTTTGTTTCTGGTTCCCTTGTGTTCAGTTAACAGACTCTGAAGGGGCCAACAAGTTTGGGGGGCCTCCCATATTTGAAGAACCTAAAACGTGATCCTCGTGCCATACAAACGGGCGACAGGCAAAGAGCAAAGCACGCACGTTTCGGGGTGTGATGTCAACCCCCCACCAATCGAACGCTACCACACTTACGTAGGATTTCGAAAATACCATGGTTGGGAAGACCACAAAGCCCTGCTCGCGGAAATTGGCGGGCAAACGCAACATCCAGAGCTCAAAGGGACGCAGCTTTGGCAAATCCAGCCCGGAGTGCGCTTGGAAAGGACAGGAAGCTCAATTCACAGCATAAGCTGAGACGAATAATTTCTCTTGGCAACGTAGCACAAAGGCCAGGAGTTGCCGCATTCGCCGCAAATGTGAGTCCTTTGATTTTTGCACTCTGCGCGTTTCAAACACACACGTCGGCGAGTTTCAACTGCAGCACTGAAAGCTCCTGACACTTGGCAAGTGCCTGTGCGGCCAACGCGGCGTTCCAACTCTCTACTCGTGCTGTCCTTAAAAGTGTTGGTCGGTTGCGTCCCTTTTTCTCTCCACACAAGACCCTGACAAGGTAAAAGCTATGCATCATCAAGAGCGGCATGCCAGCAAAAGGCCGAAAACAAATGAGGGGGAAATCCCAGGCAGGGGGTTTACCCTTCTACGAGAGCTGAGGGCAAAGGATTCTGCGGAACTGAGTGCGCACACGCAAGTACACACAAAACGACGCAGATCTCTTGTTGAACTCCGTCAATAGTGGGGGCGATCATCTCAGCGAACCCGCCGTCAGGCTCAGGGTACGGCACCAAAAAAAATAGAATGTCAAAGCTGATTATCTGTCAAAAAACAAAGAGAAGGTTCCACTTGATCGCGATTGAGCGGTTGTTGGGAAACAAAAAAGTCTCTGTTACGTCTGCACTTGCCTGTGTCTGCACAGAAGGATGGAAGCTGCTCTTGCGCGCAATCCACCTTTGCGAGAAAAAAAAAAAAGATCCAGCGCTGTTTTCAGATTTCAACTAGTCCACTTCGCACGGTGAAGCAAAAAAAAGGCGGGAGGGGAAATTATACCTGGCTCCTTGGCCAAAATATAATACCATGAAAACATGAAGATGGAATACACTCACTATGTACCAATGCAAATCGCCAGAATCCAAGCATATGCAGAGATCGACATATCATCAATGAAACAGCGACCAGTAAAGAAAGAATACCATTATCGTATAGTAGTCTGACAGAAAATGAAATCATCTCATGCAACATAATGGAATTTGTAGATAGTTGTATGATCAATAACCGAATGCGCATCATCGTAATTGGAAACACTCAGCTTTCAGGAAAGAGCGCACCGGGCACACGGCCACAGCAACCTAGTACACAAATCCAATGAACAAGCAGACCAAAAGACAATGTGATCATGTTGAAAAAAAATGATGGCGTAGGCTCGATCCTGTAATCTCCCACGTAATGATCATAGCGAACATAATACCGGGCTCATCGCGAAGAAAGCTCTCAAACCAAGCCTGTTTGCTCTCCACCTATGAACGCGGGCTTTCCGGGGTGTTGGCCAACTTGGCTGGATGTTGATCCTCTTGCACCATTGAATGAGGGACACATCATCAACCTCCGATTTGTTCATCGCGCAGATGATCGATGCCACATCCATCTTCATGAATTTGTGTCCCACGTTGACATTAGTCCTGTGGAAAGTCACGCACCGCAACTATGCAAGGGTGCTGGTGATACATGGAAAGTTTTGTTGCTCGTCAGCGTTGCACTCTGCTTCGCCAGAAAGAACTGCTTCCGCTTCACCCCAGGAGGCAAGCACCGCAAATGCCAACGTCAAAAGACGGTAGTCTCAAACAGCAACGAATGCCAAACGTAGCGGCAACAAGTCGGTCCGCTGTTGTAGCGCAGAACGACTTAAAAATGAAAACCGTGTTGAGAAAAGAAAACCGCCAAACAGAAACAATAACAAACAACACAACCGCAACTTGACACAACAAGAGCTTTAAGCTGCCCGTCAAGCGCGGACAAAGATTTGCAACAGATGCGTGCTAAGAGCACAAATGCAAGAAGTCTAAATCGAACCCTTGAAAAAGCCAGTTTAGCAATGAACCCAACGTAACGACAACAAGTGACCTAACGAAACATAAGTCGTGAGCAAAACAGTAAGAAAAGACCTGTGCCTACACTTCAGAGAAGCTTCGAATCAACTGAAACAGTGTGGGGAAAGAAGCAGCAGCCTTGACAAAGCCACCAAAACAAAATGAATCAAGGACAGGCCAGGAACAACGTTAAGCGTTGCTTCAAGCACAAAATTTAGCAGAAAGGCTGTTTAACTGAAAGCAACACATGTGTTTTTTTGCATTTTGGTGGGTAACTTACGAGGCTACCAGTCTTGGACCAAAAGTGTAAGTAAAGCAAAAACAGACCTTCCAATTAATCGCCCGGCAACACCAGCGATAGTGAGTGCTTTGGGGAGAACAGTTTGCCAAAGAACGCCTTCAGAAAAGTTTCTTAATTTTGATTGTGTCTGATTGCATCGCCAGGGCAGCCAACAGCAGCGATGTGTCGGGTTGGTCGTTTGTGCCAAACTTGGTCAATTATTCTACATCTTTGGGTGGCGTGACCTTGTATTTTACCTGGATTTTTTCATGGGCTCTTTCTAGAGTTGACCGGCAATTGAGAAACGTTGGCTGATTAGCTTTGGCTTTTGGGACTTCTGATCTTAAATTGCTTAGCCTGGTTTACCCGAAGAACTTGCACGCGCTCACCTCTCCCTTTTGTTGCGGTGGATCTTCATTTTCTGTTTGGTGGTTTTCTCAACTCACACGCCTCCATCTAATATTCTGCGCTGCCACAGCGCTGTTCAAAAAACAAAGTTGTTGTTGTTCCAGTGTCCTGCCTGCACAC